GTATATTTTTGCTTTGAGAACACAATAAGTGTAACTTTTATTTAAGCTGTTTTATAATAATCAATAGTTAGGCGAGTATTTTGTGTCCTTCATTATATTTAGTGAGCCAGGATATTAAATTGCAATGTAGCTTTCATTTTACCCTGCTCTGTTGTGTAATGTACTGAGCAAGTTTGCTGTTTCCTATGTTAGCTTAATATTTAGAACTTTTGTATTCAAATGTATGGGAAAGGTTATTGAAAGGTGCAGGAAAATGTTTGCATACATTCAAGTATTGATTGGTATGAGAAAGCTGTTCAGCATGTCTAAATCTTGTTCAAACTTTGAACAACAGTTCAGGTTGTGTGAAACAAAATAAAGCTACTGTCGTTCGAGGCTGTTTGTTAAAAGTCCTTGCGTACCTCTGAAAGGATTATCAGATCTGTTTTCAGGTTAAACTACTGCATCTGAATACGTATGCATGTAAAGAAATTCAGTACAAAATATAGACATATCAAGTGCCAAGGAGAGGGAAGGCTAGCTAGACCTCTGTCCCTGTTACTACTCTATTACATTTTCAGAGTGTGCAGTCAGATTTACTGAAGTAAGATAGACAGTTAATGATGTATGATTTTGATTTTGTTGCATAATATATTTAGTAAGTGTGTACTGGAATCTCAATTACACATAGTCATTCACAGGCTAGGTAGACTGAAATAAGAAATCACTAATATCTTAAAATTGTGATGGATCTGAAATTTTTGAGGTCAAAATAACCATTGTGATGACAGCACCTCTACCTCAGTTGGTAAATAGAGCTATTGCACGTGTATAGTAGAATATCTGTCTCCTCATTCCAAAATTCTCTGCATCCTATCTACGGGGTTGTGTTTCATCTCTTTTGATCATTCAAACACTAATAGTGCCACTATAAGTTGATCTGCGAGTCTACTAAATAGGAGGGTGATTTTTCTCCAATGGTGAAGATGTACATTTAAATCAAATAACTGTGTTACTCAAAATCTGTGGACGACATAGAAGGTATTCAGTGAGAAAATATATACTCGATGTGAATAAAACTATAATATGTTTTAATTTTTAATGATAATAATTGTTATTTTCTGCTAGCTATAGCAAAAAGATTGTTCCTTTTACATAAAAACCATCCATATTTTTTAGATGATGTTACATCTTTATATTTCTTTTCCAGCCTCTCAAAGTTTTCATTCATGGTCCTCCTGGGGTTGGCAAATCTACTGTTGCTGAAGAGCTCTGCAAACACTACAAGCTACATCACATTAAGACAAACGATGTGATTTCTGAAACAATAGCAAATCTGGTGTGTTGCTGTTTTCCAATATTGCTATTATTTTAATTTCTGTGATTTTAAAATGTATAGAATAATTTAAAGAATAGTTATAATTCCTTTATTTTAGAATGGAAATATCTTTTTACATACTGGTGACTTCTGGGGGATGCACTCAACTATTTTTAGAGACTGAAGGTTGTTCAGTGTCTCCCTGTCCAGGAACATACAAGAAATGAATTTTTAAATGTGTTATTTTTCCTTTTATTACATCTGTGTATAAAAGATATTTGGCTACAGAATTTCTGAGCTTATTCGTATTTCTGATCTTGTTTTCAGGAGAAAGTTGTGGCTCCTAAAGAACCGGACTCTGACACTGTGGGAGAAGAGGAGGAGGAGGAGGGTAAAAATGTAGAAGCAGCACATGAGTTATTATCTGCAATAAAAGAAAGCCTGGAGCAGAGTGCAGGTAGGAAATACAAAGTACTAAGATGGCATTTAGGTAACTAGTGCAATCCTATGCAAATTGAAAATTAGGAAATAAATTTGTGCTTTAGAACTTTTACGTCTGACTAAAAGTAAGAATCATGCCCTGTCCATTTTTATGTACTTTATTCAAAAATCAAATACAGTGTTTTACATTATATACCTTGTATAATAAAAGTGATATATTTTTTAAATACCGTGGTGCTTTTTCAATTGTAGAAGTTCCATCTTTCTACTTTTTTTTATACATTTTTATATAATTGTTTTTACCCTGTAACTTGATATGTAAGTAACAACAGTATATTCAGAAGCATTAGATTCTTGGGCAGATTTTTTTAATAACATCATGTTTTCTTCTCAGAGCAGCAAGTAAAAGGTTAGTGAAGTATATCTTTATAAAATTTGCAAGGAAGAAAAGTATCTAGTAAAAAAAAAGAATTAGTGCACTGTCATATGAGATTGTGGGGATTTTTAAGTACCTTATACCTCATTTTGTCCATCTCTAAAAAGTAAATAGTATTTACTGAAGCCTGTAAAGAATTTTAAAGTCTGCAGATTGAAAAATGTCCATAAAAGTTGCCGTTACTGAAATCTATATATGAATAAAGTCATGTGGGTTTTAACTTAGCGTTTAACATTTTGCTTGTGGTATAAAGTGACTCCCCCTTAAAGATGCATTGTATGACTAAAGGCTTACCTGATTTTGATCTTGTGTATCTGCAAAGCAATGAACTTGGAATGCAGCCAAAAGCTTCAGTAGTGAGATCCATGGCAGTATTTGTTCTGCATGCCTTGCTTTGTTGTCTGAAATAATAATGCCTTTTAAAATAGTAACATACTATTATGATTACAATGGTTTATAAATATTTAAGACTTTTAAAAGCTGAAGCAAAATAAAGTAGGAAACTGGAGCCAATGGTTGCAAAAGGGCAAAAAAATCAGGTCAACCCAAACTTCTTACTCCCACACATTTGCTCGACATTGTAGGCCAAGTTACTAAACCACTTCATATCTCAATCTATTCATCTGAAAATGAAACTTGTAAAACCTATCTCATGTTTGTTTTGTGAGACTATCTAAGTTTTACTGTTAATTGTAAATAGAAAATGATTGCTTTGTCACTTTTTTCTATAAATATTTCTTTGCTGCTTCTATTAAAATCTGATTGCATTATTCTAAAAAAACCCTGATTTCGTGTTTAGTATCCTTAATGTTCCAATAATTATATCTTTATAAACACAAATGTAATTTTATTTTATAGCTACACATTTATATTCCATAGATTTCTGACAACATGTAATATACAAATAATAACTCAAAATACATACTTTTTTTAGGGTCTAAATAGAAGTTTCTCTGATAAATGAATTAAAATGTTAGTAAAATAATTTCAGATTATCTCTTTTGCATAAAGTAGGTACCCATTAATCTTCTTTGTGTCTTAGGCCGCCTAGATGATCAGTATGTTGTGAAATTTGTGAAGGATAAGCTCAAATCTATGCCTTGTAGGAATCAGGGATATGTTTTAGATGGATTCCCGGAGACTTATGACCAGGCAAAAGATCTTTTTAATTGTAAGTACTGCTGCTTTTGCTTTTATTGCTTCTAATATTTTCATTATCATTATTGTTCTCAGTGCCATATTAGTTGAAGTGCATCAACACTGTACTGACTGCAGTGCAGGGGGCAAAACAAAGTTGTTTTCACATGTTGCTTAAAATGTGAGAAGGATTGTAATGCACCTTATTTAAGCACAAGATAGTTTTCAGACTATCTTTGCTGGCAAAGTAATAAGTAAATACACAAATATGGAGGATGTTTTCTGGTGCTGTGTTGGTCTACTCTACTCAAGCCAGCTCTAAGGCAGAATTTCTTCATAATATTTAAGGCTGCTTAATGGGAGGATCCAGCCAGTGCACCAATGCATGTCTCGTGAGCCAAATTAGAGTGGGTATATTAGATCAGCTACTGTAGATAGGACTCAAGAGGAGCTCTGTGACATTTCAAATTGTGAGCAAGCACCACCCATGCATTAAGACCAAGAATCATCTCCACATGTAAATTGCATCATGAGGTTTGAAGGTAAACAAAACCCAGTCTTGTTCAGCTTAATATGCTGGGCTGTGAATTACCATGCTCAGCTGATGCTCTTCAGGCAGTTTTACTGACTATTCAGAACAGCAGACACTTTGTGGCAGAAACCATTTTAATCATAGTACTGTAAAACATTTCTGCTTGCTGTCCTGAGCCTTGTCTCTGTTTTTGGCAGAATGATGTATTTGGCAGGAGGAGAGGCCAGGATCAGGATAGCAGTATGGACACATTTTAAGATTGTGTATGCATGTGCATATTTCCACTGTATAGACAAACAACTATTAGTGTCCTAAGGCAGAATTCTGGGGTGGCTGGCAGCATGAATTACTTATCGAATTTTCTAAACTGGTGTTAGGTTAGATTAATTTCCAACAATTAGTATGATTTGAATATAGACAAACCTGTGTTTATACTTGGCACATTTTTAGCAAATATAATTATACTGTTGCTTCAAATGAAAATGTTCAAATCAATTCTTACTTTTGTTTTAGTGGAAAACGAAGATGAAGAAGAAGAAGAAATTAAAGGCAAAATACCTAAATGTGATAAATTAATCATACCTGGTAAGTTTGATAGATTTCTTTCTAAATAAACAGAGGAGCTTTCAAATACTGCTGCCACCAACGAGAAGTCTAAAATATCACTCCATCTGTTCATATTTAATTTAACATAAAATAAATATCTAATCCGTGTGCTGCTGCTGCCCTCTTATTCGAAAGTGAACAATTAATCAAAAGGAAGGTTTTGGTTCAGTTTCTGGGTGTTTTCTTCATTTTTTTCTTTTTGTGAAAATGCTATCAACTGTTGGCTGATAACAATAGTGGTAGCTGCCTTTGTTGTGATTATAGCAACTATTAATAGAATAAACATGAGCTCCTGAACTTGACATATTAAAAAAATGCAAGTGTATCTTTAGCGCGATGTCTTGAAAAATGTTACCAAATTAATTTTAATGCATCGGTTAAGTTGGGATTAAAATAGAGTGGTTTTCATCTATGCAGAAATGGCTTCATTCTGGTGTTTTCAATATTCTTGATTTCTTTGGAAGATAGGATTACATTCAAACAATACACGTGGCATATTCTGCATTACAAGATGTGTACAGTTAGGTAGTATAAAGGTTAAATATTTCAAATGTTTAGTGTTTCAGTAAATGATAACTTACTGGCTTCAGCGGAAGGGAAGAAAATTCAGAACTTTCTGAAAAATTGCTTAGTTCTTGCACTTACATGAGGGGGACAAAGGCTTGATTTAAAGAGCAGGCTTCTACCAAGTCTTTCACCACTTATGAATTGCTAATTTCTGAAGTAAATAATTTCTGTTATTCATAAACAAAGCCACTTTTAGCCACTATTTCAAAAGAGGAAATGTGAATGAGTTGTTATGATGGGTGGGAGAAGTACCACTTTCTCTCCCATAACAAGGACTTCAGGCATGGGATCTGTTTTAAGAAGGTACCTTCTCAACCTTGGAGAAAATTTGTTTTAAAAAACAGAATGGTCCAGAAAGGGTTCTTGTTGGTTTAGGGAAGTTTTCTTGAGTCTGTTTTTGGTTTTTTGGGAAGTTTTTCTGGGGACAGTTGGTGGGTGGGGAGGGGGCTGTGTCTGTGCTTGATTCTGCAAATTTCTCTCTGATGTCAGAAAAATTACTTCCTGGCTCTGTTAAATTAACAGATTTCAGTAGTATTGAATAATTATAATAATAGAAATGCCAGAATATAACGTGATAAATTACATTAAGCCATATTTAATAAATATAAATTGATTATTGAGTTAATAAAATACTACAAGATTCAGCCTAATGAAGCTACAAATATGAGACTTCTGAAGTGAAGAAAGGAGACAGATTTTTCTATGGATCCGTGAAAGATTTCTGGTGTTTTGTCTACCAGTAGTACTAAAATAACATTGAGACTAAATTTTATGGCATGTGGTGGCAAGTACTATTTGATTTTATTTTTTTAATTTACTTTAATTCATCAGATACACCTTTATTTTTGAGATTAAAAATTAAAATACAGGGTGATGACTTTTGATGACTTGACAAACAAGTGAGTTAAATTTTCCAGTGTTACTTGCTGCTTTGGCTGCACCATTCATAAGAATTTTTTTCCTCCTATACTTGTTACATGTATTGATTGTATGATAACTTTCTTAGAAAATTTGAGCTACAGTGCATTGCTGTTCTTAAGATTTTTATTCTGCTTATTGAAAGAATAGGCTTGTTGATAATGCTAAGAAAGAATTTGGTGAAATTGGAATATGTAGCTTCTTTACAGACGTGTCTCAATATTGTTGGATTTCTCTAACTGGAGAAGTTGAATATAAGCATTTGATAATTAAATTCTCTGTGAAGATATACACAGTTCAGATCTGTTTATGTTCAGTTGTGGTTTAAAATATATTATTAACACAAAATAGGTAAGAAAAAGGAAAAACAATAATATATATGGGTGCTGATAATGTGGTGTTGTTCTTCACAGAATTTGTTATTTCTTTGACTGCATCTGATGAATTCCTTATAAACAGAATAATAAATCTGCCAGAGAGAATTGTTGCTGGAAGTCATTATACCCAGGAGCGGTTCCTGCAGTCTCTGAATGTCTTCAGAGAGTTAAATACAGAGGATAAGACTGTTCTCAACTACTTTGATGAACTTGAAATACATCCTCAGTTTATTGGTATGAAATAATAAAATCAGTAGATAAAATATAAATAAAATAATTTGTTGTTACAAATTTAAGACTTGCAAAAATCATATAATAAGTCTACATATATAAGTAATATTTTTAATTAATGTTGCAGAATACATATACAACAAGCATTTAATTATATACCTGCAAAAATATCTGTACACTCATCAGGATTCTGAATTATTCTCGTATGGTTAACCTGTTTTAAAAAACAGGGGGTTTAACTGTTCATTTTTGTGGGCTAAATGATCAAAATAATTTTCTGACTTTAGTTACAGACCTCTGCACTGATGTCCTTCCAGATTGGTGTAACAGTGTATTTTCACTGACTTTCAATATTACAGTTGCTCATATTTTTTTCTTTAGACTTATCCTCAGATGCCGTGACAATATATGGATAATCTGTAAATGATGGACCATGAAGAATATTTTTAGAAATTAGAGGTGGAAGGCTAGGGCTGAATCTGTTTTGCACTATACCTGTATGTGAGAAAATTTGTCTTCCCAACTATCTAGAAAACTGTGATCACTGGGAAATCTTGACAAGATTGCTATAATCTGATTATTAAAAACAGTGAGATCAAGGTGACAGCATTCTTAAGAAAAATGGGAGGTTTTTAGCAGGGGATGGAGAAAAGAAAGAACAAGGGAAAAACCTTGGAACTAAAATCAAGCTGATGATATTTGGAATGTCCATCTGAGATGAGTTATGGGAAGTTAATTGTTGAACAGCCTCAGTCATAATTGATTTCCTAATTTTTTTTTTTTATTTATTTAATGTTAGTCATGGAGATTATCTTGAGAATAATACCATACATGTGGTGTTAGGAAGTGTAGCAGGGTGAAAAAATAGTATGTTAGTACAATCATTTTAGAATTGAGGTAATTCTGCTACAGGAAGTAAATGTATAAATCGTAAATATTAAGGTCTGATGCCATCAATTCATCATATCTTATACACTTCTAGATATGCAAGTAGTAGGACTCTCCATGATGATGTTTTAGTTTGGTGGGGACTATAAACTGTATACTCTATGATAGAATATTGTAGTGTTTTCCTCTAAGAATTATGCCCAAAGATACTCTTAAACTCTATTCCATTCCAAATAAGGAAACTCACTGGCCTACTAATTTAATTATTGAGGTATCACAACTGTGATGGTCAGTGACTTCCAGATGATTTTCACATTCAGTTCATAGTGTTGATTCTCATCTTCAAAGGAGCCTCGTCTTTAGGTCCTGTTTATCACAGGAACTGCCTCTTTACCTATATTCAGTTCACTGATTGTTACCCACCGAAGTATGAAAGCATATAGCTTTCTGTTGTAAAATGGTAAGGACAGATTACAAAGATAACTTCAGTGAGCAACCTTCAGCTCTGCAAATAACCCTCCATTCTAGCTGATGTTCCAATGGGTTTATCAGATCTGTAGAATTAAATAGCATCAGATTTAAGCAGAGCACCAACTGCTTTCTCAGTCATATTCTGAAGGAATTTAGTGGGGAATAGTTAAAAAATTGTGCTTGATTTTTTAAATATTTACTCAAATTAATCAAATCTTTGTTCCACCTTAATTTTAGAAAATCATAACATATGGCTTTATGAATTGCTTTTATGATTATTATTTCTTCTGAGTCTGAAATATGATTAGTACAAAGGAGTGGGCTTCAAGATTCTGGAAACTCTGCTACAGTGACTCACTGCATGAAGTCTGCAAGTCAGTTATCTTGGGTCTCATTTTTGTCATCTGCAAATTGTGGATGGTGACACAGGCATGTTAGATCATCTACAAAAAGGCATATGAAAGTTATAACAGCAATTTCCTTTGATGATTTTAATTTATGAATGCCTTTTCTCGTGATCAGTCAGTGCTAACTTCATTTTTTATTTAAAAGGTATTTATTTTTGAGGATAAATGCAGTTAATTTTGACTGCTGTAATATTTGCATTGTAATCTTTCTTGGCCATCTAAGAAAAAATGCAGGCTTTGAGACCTCCAATTCAATGCTGAGAGAGTCCTTAGCAATACTTAAATGACTAGAAATGTGGTTTGCACTGTAATTTGTATATCCAGATACAGCTAAAATTGTAGAAACAACGGACTGCTTGACACAGAAAATGTATTATTCTTTTAATTTGTAATACTTTAGGACTGTAATTCCTGATTTTTTGAAAGAAGCAACTGTAAAAGAAATTTTATCATGTAGAATTATGTTAGTTTTCTCCTCATTAGCAGAGTTTGGACTTCAGGTCCAAATCACAAACAAACTCTTGGAATAAAGATGTTAATATTGAACAACTATCTTTGGTCTGAATTAATGATTGGAAAGAAATGGTAACCATGTTTTGCCAATGGGTTTCAAAATAGCTTCATAAAGCAGAGGACTGTGGAGTAGGGACTACTGGATTCTCATCTAAATTCTCTATTCTAGTTGTTCTGTTTTTTCCCCTTCCTCTGCTTGCTCTCCTTACCCACTGTTGCAGATGAAAACATTTGACATGGTTATGATTTAGGAGCAATTCAAAATTTATTAATAGTATGGCTTAAATCAAAGGTTGAATTCTAACAGCACTCAATGATTGACTAATTTAAAGATTTACAAGTAATTCAGTAAAATAATTATAATCAAAACAGTGACTTAATTAGAGATTCAAAGATGACAAGATTCACAGTAGCTTACTATAAGGTATCTTAAATCAAAATGTATATGTACTTTTGTATAGATATACATATATAAACATAAAACATGCAGGTACATACAGACAGAAATATTTGGGCCCACAGATATGACATCTACACTCATGAAGGCAAATGTGTATATTTAAAAACACAGATAGGTAGGGATGTGGATGGAGGAAGCTAGCTTACAGTTAAAATTTCCCTCTTCGAGTTGTAATGACAGGACAAGGGGTAATGGGTTTAATCTGAAGGAGGGTCGATTTAGATTAGATGTTAGAAAGAAATTCTTTACTGTGAGGGTGGTGAGGCACTGGAACAGGTTGCCCAGAGAGGTTGTGGAGGCCCCATCCCTGGAAGTGTTCAAGGCCAGGTTGGATGGGGCTTTGGGCAACGTGGTCTAGTGGAGGGTGTCCCTGCCCATGGCAGGAGGGTTGGAACTAGATGATCTTTAAGGTCCCTTCCAGCCCAAACCATTCTATGATGATGAGTTTAGAGTGAGTACTCACAGTGCATTGGCATTCCTCAGCGGGCAATCATTGAGACTTGAGGAGGTTGACTTTCTCCCTGGCCTTGCACCAGCTTTGACAGCAGATGGTCCTCAAGGAGTTCGTACCTGAGAGGCATCCCAGCCCAGGGGAGATGCTGGTCACAGCCTGCTGTGATCCAGGAGAACTCAAAGGGTCTTGCTTAGAAAGGCTATTTGTAGGATCAGAGATAACTGACTTTTGTCTTTTGTACTTTTCCCCTTTGGCCCAGCTAAGATGGTGAAATATTCTGGTACTTTCTACCAGTTGTGCAGACTCAGAACTTTTCTGGCATCACCCCCTTTTGGGCCACGGCCCAGGTACAGGTGTACCAGGCTGTCAGGAGGTGATTGATTGTCATTATTGTCCCCAAACAATAGGGGAAGCAAAAGCATCACGACCCAGGCACAGGTGTACCACGTACCATTGCCAAGCAAAGCAAGAGCCAGGCATGTCAGGAGTGCCTTAATGCTCTGGTCTGCTGCCCTGGCATGTGGCCCAGGAAAGGGGAGGGAAATTGCACCAAGTACAGAGCACCTTAAGGGGGGGTTGCACCACCACACCCATTTCTGTGTCTTTACATCCCCAGTCCCTTACCACTGAACACGCTGTTTATCTCTGTACTCTCTGCATACCTGAAATGCTCACCTTTCCTCTTTTCCATGTACATTTCTATACCTTTTCTGCCAGATGCCTCCCCACACTGAATGTATAAAGAGCATAGAATGCCCTGGAGACTGCTGTCTCCATTTTTCTGTGTTTTTTCTTTTCCTTATTTTTTTCTTTTTTTCTCTTTTTTTCTTCTTTCTTCTTTCTTCTTTCTTCTTTCTTCTTTCTTCTTTCTTCTTTCTTCTTTCTTCTTTCTTCTTTCTTCTTTCTTCTTTCTTCTTTCTTTTTTCTTTTTTCTTTTTTCTTTTTTCTTTTTTCTTTTTTCTTTTTTCTTTTCCTTTTTTCTTTTTTCTTTTCCTTTTTTCCTTGTTTCCTTTTTTCCTTTTTTTTCCTTTTTTTATTTCCCCTCCCCCCCCCACATCATACACAAGTAGCCTCCAGCAATAAAAAGTGAGAAGGAATAAAATGAAAGAGAAGGTCTTGCCCAATCTCTGTGCTCCTACATGAAGCTACGGATCTGTTTTGTAGACATAACACAGTAAGAGTTCAACTAGAGATAGGTCTGTGTATTTGTAAATCTGGATGAGTGAAAACTTTGGAGTTTGTTGCCAAATCCTAACAACCTATTGTGTAACCTGTGGGGGAGACAGGGTCAAAAGCTGGTGGTTTTATGCATCTGGATAAGTTGACCTAAGATTGGTGAAAGGAACATGTCTGATAATAGAATGACCTCATTTTCAAGTTTCAAAACTTAGTCAAGCTGCAACTGATAAACAGAATAGTTGTAAAAATTATTTTATTACACTTCTCCCTTACATCATCTTAAAAAGACAAACTATTTTAGCTGAAAATAGTAAAGAAAATCAGATGTAGAAAACTTCATTCTGTGTAGCAAAAAACCTGATATCTATAAGCAACTGAAAACAACATGTTATTACTTGAAAATTCAAACAATATGAACACCATATAATTTTAGGTCTTGCAGTTATTTTCTAATCATAATTGACAAAAGCCTTGAAATGACATCTCTTGTACTGTTTAAAGATGTAGCCAAATTTGAAGATCCTGAGAACAGATTTATTGTAAAAGAGATCATCAAAGAAATTGGGGAACCTCGGAATTATGGTCTGACAGATGAAGAAAAGGACAATTTGGAACGCCAAGCAGCTGAGGAACGCCTTGTCAAAGAAGCTCAAGATAAAGCTGAACAAGAGCATAGAGAAGCTGAGGAAAGGGATGAAAGGATGGCAAATTGGGAAGAGTGGGTAGGTTAATACACATTTTTGGGTAATCATTATTATATATGTGTTTTAGATGGCTGCCAGCAATCTGTTATGTAAATGCACTTGGAAAGTGTGACATAAATTCTCTAGTTCCTTATATCATACTTTAGATCTGGATTAGATTATCTTCACAGTGCATTTTGAGGCCCAACCTAAAGAATATAGTCTCTTTTTGATTACAGACAGCATATTTTTTTATATGTTAGTATCAGCATGTCTTTAAAATACTTTTATGATACTCCCCTTGCTGTTGCTGTGCTGTAACTTACTACTATAACCAGTGGTGATTTTCCATAACCAGACTTCTAGGACTTTTGTATTTTGCTCCCTTTATTTTTAAGCAGCTAACCAAGTCTTAATTATCATGCCTTTCAAACAAGATTTTTAACTCAACACTGATCAATATTCCAGTCTGCACTGCAAGAGCCTGCAAGAGAAACAGCTTTGAGAGCTAGGTCCTCAGCTCAGTGAGAACTACCTGATGCAGTCTGAAGGATGCTTTTTGTTTGCTAATACTTTAATAAGTACTTGGTATTTAGGCTACCTGACCTCACAGGATTTGCACATGACATGACGCTTTTTCCTTATTTACTTTGTCACACCTAAGGACGTTTTAGCTAAATAACCTGGAATGCATACTATAAGAATGTTCTCATTCACACCCAAAGTCAGGTTTTTTCACCAGAAGGCAGTTCTTCTATTGTCTTCCTCTAGAACTATTTAAAAAACCCTGATCATTCCACAGAGAAATCCTTTTCTTGCATTTGAATGTCCATACACATCTATGGGGAAATAATACTCTGAAATTACTCACTCTTAAAGAAGCATTTACATTGCTCTGATGTTAGCATAAATAAGTTTTCTTTGTTATCTCTGTGCTTATTTACAGCCTCATTCAACATAAAATAGCGTTTTGTACTCTCTGTAAAATTGTCTAAAAGATTAGTGAGGGTAGTTAACACATTTTTAGCTATATACAATCCAAAATCATCTCACTTTCAAGAGAGCAAACTGTGCTTTATTCAAAGCTTAAGTAAGTGTTTAAATAAAACCTGTGCTTAAGTTTATCCTTTCAAATAGGCAGATGCTCAGGAAATCTAAGCAACTATTCATTTGCCCTTGAGACTGTAGATTAGCTGTTGTCTCTTGAGTAGTGACCAAAGACCACTTACAGGATTTATTCAATAGCACTCCTGGATTGAGTGAATAAGGTAAATATATTTTCCAGATATTGGTATATTGGTTTTATCAGAATATTTCTTTTGTGTTATGCCTTAAGTATAAAAAAGCAGTCTTCAGAGTATCATCTGCTTGCTGTTTCTAGATATGACTCAGACTACTGATGAATAAAATGAGAGAAGAGAGGACAATAAAAATGTTTTTGAGTAATCTGGCTAAAACTACTGCAAGTATACATGCTATTAAGTGCTATTAAATGAAAGATAGAAAAACTTGCAGCAGTTTTATTTCCCTACCCCTCCTACTTTTTGAGTGTAATCGTTGTATTTGATTTAACCTGAATTCAAGAATAAATTTAGCTGGTGTAAACAGATGTAATGCGCTATGGTTTTAGCTTATTTAGCTCTCATCCCCCTCGAAAACTGACATAAATGAAATAAAACCAAACCAAAACAAAGAAACCAAACCCAAAACAAACTATCAAACCCAACAATTTATGGTTACTTAGAGAGTCAGGGCTCTCTTCTGAGTAAAAATATTCTCCTTCCCTTCCAGTTCAAAGAACCCTCAAAGTGTATTCCAACCATTTTGCCAAATATGGTGACAGGACCACTGGAAGACTTCAGAATAAACCTCCTTTTAGGTGTTAAAGAAAAAATAATTTTACTAAGGAGATTATTTCGGTTTTCATCACATTCACTTCTTTGTCCTCAGTGTGCCATGTACTCTAAATTTAATAAGCAGTTCGTAGTTTTTCCGGCCAAGTTGTGAGTTTTAAAGTTTTGTCCACAGCTTCTAACACTATTTTTTCCTCATTATTTAGTCAAGTGCTATTTGGTGGATGTTATAAACCTTATTCTCTATTATTTTGGTCATTATTTGTAGAATAAACATCTGGAGGAAGTGAAAAGACAAGAAGAAGAGTTATTGGAGGCCCAGTCCATTCCACTACGAAACTATTTAATGAAGAATGTCATGCCAACACTTATGCAAGGGATAAATGAATGCTGTAGGATCAGGCCAGATGATCCAGTCGATTTTCTGGTAAAGTGATCACATTTATTTTCTTAAATATGTTGGAAAAAGCTTAATGAAAATATTCACACAGACCCAAAGAATCTCTGTTACCATAAGGACTTAAATTTTTTTTCTCCACTATCATGATAACAATTAATTAACAGATGGCACCTGCAATTCTGGTGAGCAGTAATTATTGTGAAAACTAAAACCCCAGCAACTAGCCTACATGGGCTCAATTGATACTCTGTATCAAGTAAGGTCCAGCTTTGTTAAACAGTAACAGGACAAGAATCACTACAAGAATCCGTTTCTCTTTGGTGTGTGCACTCTGCAGGTCTTACATACCCTGCCAATTCTGCTGTGACACAGAGGCCTGCAGAAAGGGGGACACCACTTTATATCCTGTTTACACCCCTCTAGGCACAATAGAGCACTTTAATGATGAATTAAAGCTCTTCAGTAATTCCCTTCACAATACACAGATAAATTAATTAGTAAATCCTATGAGACATACATAGAATAATTCCAATTGCGAAGCACCTCAAGAAGCTGTCTAGTTCAACTTTCAGCTGAAAGCAGGTTCAGTGTTGCATTCAGACAAGAATTCAGATACTGTAAAGTGATTGCTGTACTGCTGTTCTTCCTGCACATCCTAAGAAAGTTATTAACAAGCTATCACTGCTTTAATGAAAAGAAACATTTTATTAACCAAGCAAAAGCTTAAAATGAAAGCATCAGTGTTGTGTGCCGCTCTTAGGCACTAAGGAATGTTTAATTGTTTTAACAGTTTTGCTTACTGATGAATGACAGCTACCTGTAGCTGTAGGAGCCTGAGGTTGTCTTGCTAACTGCATAACTTTTAAAGATGTGTATTATTTCCTCTTCTGGGTCCAGAAATCAGGCCCTAGGGTATTCCCTAGGATTTTCCGTGGAGTGACAAATACTGTCATAAATAGCTCACTTCCTTCTCTTGCCCATGGCAGAGATGGGGTGACTGCTACCAAGAGGGAGAATGAGATGGATGGTATTTGGAATGTTATTTGTGGGGAAGAGGTTTCTCTGACATATCTGCCAGAAATTACATTTTAGAGCCATTTAATACTCTCTGCAATTTTGTTTAAAGTTATGTTATCCACTATATTTTTCTTATTTGCTATACATTTTAAAATTGGAAACTTGAAAATAAGTGTAACTTTGAAACTCTTCTACTTATAGGCAGAATATCTCTTCAAGAACAGTCCTGATATGGAATGAGATAAACATTAAATCCTAACGGCTGTCGAAATTGTGAAGTAGAAAGGGAGAACATTCCTAATGCATTTTAAATAAAAATACTTAAGTTTCTGAAATTATTTTTGTTTAAGCTTATTATGTAATCTCCATTTTTATTTCTTATACTTTATTACTATTTTGTATTGGGTTTTTAATATTTGTTCTACAAAAGTATCATTTACTGCACATATTAATATGCAGCTGTATTTCATCTATCTATTTGAAACTGTGAACCATAAGAATCTGTTCTCTCTCTCCAAAATTTTCTTCCTGGATTTTTTTCAGGTATACATTCTATTTAAGCAATATATTCTTGTCCTGATCCATAGAGGACGTAGGCAGCTAGTCTGAGAAAAACTTTTCTTAAAAAAAAAAAAAAAAAAAAAAAAAAAATCACTGATAATGGAAACTAATAGAAGCAGCAGGCTCTGTTATTTCCCCTCCCAGCTACCAAGAGGCAAAAAGTCACACAACATAGTCTTCTTGCGGTGCACTGAAGACTGACTGGTTTCCCAACCTAGGTATGTCATAAACCCTGGGTTTTTCTTTGGAATCAAACAGATGGGTGTAGTTCTTACTTAACTTTCATCATTCAATATTTGATACATGTTTTTTATAGAGTCTTGAAGAATCTAGACTTTCCAGCATGTGACTGCCGTTTCCTTTTTTATTGACTTTGTATACCTTTCACAGAAACTGTCGATATTTATGCTGACTGAGCTGAAACTGATAACATAGTTGGTATAAAACAAATACAGGATTCTCTCAAAACAGAAAGCAAGGACTGTTTGGGACAAGGGGAAAAAAAGAGGAAGAACTGAAAGAATGGTGATACAGAAACATTTTACACTTATCGATTACTTTTAGTATTAGAATTTTAGAAGTATTAATGCACAATGTGCTTATTCAGATATATTAATATTTCTACAAACAGTCTTATTTCATCTATTTTCACATAGTCAAGTTAGTGATGATAGCCAGGAACAGAGTTCAGAACCATCATATCTGACTCTAAAAAACCAGACTCTTGGGATCTAAATTTCCTATATGCTGCCAATCCAAGTTACCATTTATCTTATGAGGCAGTTGAAGATGAAATAATCGGTCATTTTAGAGAAATTTTTAGTTTGAGAGTCCTGTTTTTCAGAGTAAAGATGAAAATAGGACACTAAAAAAAAGAGATAAAACATGGTGATGGGGTTTTTGGGTTTTGTTTTTTGTTTTTTTTATATATAGAGTTGTTGTATTACATTTACTTTTCTAAGAATAGTTTTGAGCTGATTTGTAAAGTATGGGGTTTTTTTCTCTACAATTTTCTGAAATTGATGCTATTACAGGCAGAGCTTTCAAAAACAATTAGTAGAAAAGGATCTCTTTGCTTTGTGCGGGGCGTAAACCCCAAAATGAGCCCGCTGCAGGTAACAAAAGACAGGCAC